TCAGAGTGAAGACCGACCATATATTTATTTAGAAGGAAATAATAATATTCAGAGTGTAACTATATTAAATGAAGTAGATACAATAAAATATGTTTTTAGTGGTATTTCTATTGACACAATCATTGGACCTGAGAATAATATAATTACATCAATTTGTTCTATTAGTTCATTTAATCGATTTGTTCAACATGATTCAACTTTAACACTGAAACAAGACTGTTCTTGTTTTATTCATTCTGATAGTTCGTCAGTTAATTTTCATGAGTTTATAATGAATTATCCAGATTGTTTATATAACAGTTCTCTTTTTTATTTAACTATTCTTCAACACCAAGTCACGATATCATTTCGAGAAGATGTATCTCTTCTTTGGAAGGGAATAATATTTGAACCAAGGTTTGGTCTTACTATTATTCAAATAGCAAAAAATACTAAATTGTATTTAACTGAATCAACTGAACTACCAACAACACGTTTATATGTAATTGGAAAAATTCATTTTAAATCAGTTTTATTTCCACAAACGAATGCTATTCATTGGTTTACAGATATTTCATATGACCAAGCTAATTTTACAAGTCAAGAAGGAAAGATTGTATTTGTTGGAACAGATACCTTTCATCAAGGAGTAGAAAAAATCTGTGAAAATGGAAATAGAACTCGTTTTGGATATCTTTCTTCAATTGGCTGCACTTGTCAATACACAACTTCATTTATTCAAGACGATTGTTTTGAAAGTTCTCTTTATGAAACGAATAACTTAAACCTTGTTCTTACTTCTCAAGAAACAACATACAGTTCTATTGATGGAAGTTATTGGAATAGTATTACAACATCACCTGTTTCTTATTTAAAAGGAACAATAAAATCTAATATTTGTACATTAAATGGAAAAACTACAATTTATGGTAAATTGTTTTGTAATACAATATATCTTAATGGAGATGTAACAGTTCTTGGAACCGATCCTTTGATATCAGACAAAATAATTATTCAAAAAGATTGTAGTCTTGTTGGAAATATTCAATCTTTAAATTATGAAATATTATCTAACTGTAATATTGTTTTTGAAAATAGTTTCTCTTCAAATATTGTTTTAGTTATTCAAGATAACTCATTTGTTACTTTTAAAAGACCTGTTATTATAGAAAAAATAACTACAGGTGTTAATGTTCAAATTAAAGCAGAAAGAATTGAATTTCTTGAATTAATAACAGATAATTTCTTCTCTTTAAATGCTTTAACATGTACTATTCAAAGTGGAACTATTCGATTGGATTATATTGTATTAACAAATCAAATGATTATAAAGAAAAATGTTAGTTCTATTTCTATTGAATCAATAACATTTAAGAGTATTGGTCTTCCATTACTTTCTCTTGAACCAACATCAAATGAGTTATTAATTAAAACTATTCCTCAGTGTATATCATGTTCTAATATTCTTTTTCTTGAAGCAAATTCAAGAAAAATTATAGGAGTAGAACCATCTTTATATTCATGTGATCAACAGTTAATTGTTTTAAATAAGTTAGATAATTTCATTGGGTGTAAGACATTACAATTATATAATAAGAAATGTGAATATGGGGATCCATCAATAACTCCACTTTATTCATGTCCATGTCATGGATCTTCTGATGTTTATTGTACTGCTATTATTTATTCATCTTCATATCAATTATCTGATGAGGAATATCCAAATGAAATTGATATTTTAAAAACAACAAAGTTAATAGTAAGTAATAAAGAATTTATACTTAAAACAAATGCAAATGTACAGATAGAAGGATCATTAAATAATATTGTTTTTAATCCTTCTGATTCAACAATTCAATTAAGTGTTTCTCATTCAAATATGATTTATGCTCTAACTGGATATGGAATTTCTTATTCAACAAGAACTTCAATCACATCTTCTATAGAAGATATATGTTTTATTGTTTATGTATCAAGTAATAAAATTGAATGTATTAAATGTAAATTAGGAGAAGATCAAAATGGGAAGTGTATAGAATCTATTGAAATTGAACATTGTAGAGCAGTATCATCAATAGACCAACGGTGTGATTTTTGTGATGATTATTACTATTACTCTTCTTCTTTAGGAATGTGTTCTCCATGTTATGATAAACATTGTAAATATTGTAATGAAACAAATTGTTTTGTTTGTGATGAAAATTATGCTGTAAATAAAAATGAATGTTCTCTTGTTACTACATGTGATTATTATTCAAATGGAGTTTGTTATGAATGCCCAGAAAAAAGTTTTCCTATTAATGGTGAATGTCAATCATGTGAAATTACAGGGTGTTTGAAATGTAAAACAGCTACAACATGTTCAGTGTGTGATGTTACAAAAGGGTATTTTTTATATGAAAATGAATGTAAATTTGTTAACGGGACAATAACAAATTCACATATTATTTCTTGTCCTGATCAATTTTATTTATTAAATAATAATTGTATTAGTTGTTCTGTTAAACATTGTACCATTTGTACAAATGAAATGTGTTACAATTGTCAAGAAGGGTATATACTAAATAATGCTGGTGAATGTATTCCACAACCAACAACATGTAATGCAAATAATTCAAGATGTTTAAATTGTCAAGAATCTGAATACCTTAATTATACTGAATGTATTGAATGTTCTGATCATTGTACTAAATGTACAAATGATGGTAATTGTGTTTCATGTGATTCTGGATATGTATTAGAACAAGAATTTGATGATTTTAAAGGATATAAAATTAAATGTAAATTATTTAATTCAACAACTAATCATTGTGAAATATTATCAGAAGGAAAATGTTTAACATGTAAAGACAATTATTATATTTCATCATATCAATGTTTAGAATGTGATTATAAATGTAAAAAATGTACATCTAGACAAGATTATTGTTATGAATGTAATGATGGATTTTTGATAGAGAATGACCATTGTGTATCATCAAAAGATTATGTAGCAAATTGTAAAAGATTTATTGGTTCTGTGTGTATAAAATGTAATGATGGATATTTTATTCAATCATCAAAATGTATTCCTTGTTCACCAAATTGTGATATTTGTTATCAAAAAAATATATGTTCAACATGTATAACAGATTTTTTTGTTAATGAAACATATCAGTGTGAACGTCAAATAAATTTAAATAATTGTATTGAATATGGAGAACAAGGATGTTTAGAATGTGAACAAGGATATTATATTAACGGAAAAAGATGTTCTACTTGTAGTTCTAAAACTAATAAATGTTCAGAATGTGATATGAATTATGGGTATTGTATAGGATGTGAAAAAGATTTTATATTAATTGAAAAAGAATGTATTTATTTTGAACAGATTAAACATTGTTTAGGATCAGAAGGATCTAAATGTACATCATGTGAATATTGGTTTCAACCTAATGAAAATGGACAAAAATGTGATTTAGTTCCAGTGTGGTGGAATTTTATTGTAGTAATAATTATTATATCTATAATAATTAAAAGTTGTGTTATTATAGGAACAGCATTAATTCAATTAATAGTAAAAAGGGTTTATCTCAAAAAAATGGAATATGAAGAAAATCATAACTATACTAAATTTCAAATAAAATATTCTAATATAAACTTTAAACATGTATCAAAAAGTCGTCTTGTTATGAATATTAATAAATTAACATTTGGATGTGAAAAACAACCTTTACCTGTTGAAACTGAATCAAGAGAATTATTTTGTATTGGAAATTTAACAAAAAAAACAATAAAAATATTTTTAAATGCAATTGAAAAGAAAGAAAAATATGAATTTAAAATTAGTCCATCAGAAATTATATTAAAAAATGGAGAGGCATGTGAATTTGAAGCTATTTTAATACCACATTGTTCATGTACAATTAATGATTATTTTCAAGTAAGTTCATCATATTTAAATGGAGGTAATTCAAATAGTGAACGAATTGGAATAGAGTTTATTACAGAAATAAGTAGTAAATTTGATCCAGATGAATTAATTGAAATAAAAAAGATAGGAGAAGGATCATTTGGTATTGTGTATTTAGGAAAATTTAGAGGAAATAAAGTGGCAATTAAGAAAATGAAACAAATTAATTGTAAAACTGAAGAAGAACAAATAGAAGAATTTAGTTATGAAGTATCAATGTTAGATAAATTTAGAAGTGAATATATTATTCATTTTTATGGTGCTGTAATGATACCAGGAAAAATTTGTATGGTAACAGAATATGCAGAATATGGTTCATTAAATAATGTTATGAAAAATTTTAAGAAAGAAAATAAAGAATTAAATTGTAAAATTAAGTTAAAAATATTTTTAGATGCTTCTAAAGGAATTCAATATCTTCATCGAAATAATATTTTACATAGAGATATTAAACCTGATAATATTTTAATATTATCTCTTGATAATGATATTTCTGTTAATGCCAAATTAACTGATTTTGGTTCATCTAGAAATGTTAATTCGTTACTTAAAAATATTACTTTTACTAAAGGTATTGGAACTCCTGCTTTTATGGCTCCTGAAATATTAAATAAAGACCATTATAATTTTCCAGCTGATATCTTTGCATTTGCTATTACAATGTATCAGTTATTAAGTTGGAATGATCCTTATCCAAATGATAAATTTAAATATCCTTGGAATATTGCTTCTTTCATAATGAATGGTGATAGATTACCAAAAGTTAGTTCTATAACAGATGAAGAATTTTCTTTAATAGAAAATTGTTGGAAACAAAATCCAAAAGATCGATATACAATTAATGCTGTTGTTGAAACTTTAGAACATCTTTGTCCTAAATAAAGAACATCTAATTTATTTTTATGTATTCAAATTTATTTTTGTTTTTTGAAAATTAGTAAAAAAAAAACAAAATTACTTTTTATCATTAAATTAAAATAAAACAATACTTTTTTTTTAACAATTAAAGAATGGATGTGCCAAAGCTTTTTCAGCTGACATTCTATCATCAGGATTATACATAAGAAGAGATTTTAATAATGAAGTTCCTTCTTTTCCAATTCGAGAAAAGTGAGAATTAAAATCAATTGGAACTGGTGCGTCAGGATCATGTGTAAAATGATAATACTTATTAACTCCTGGCCAATTTCTTTCATTCGGAACACCTAATAAATCAAATATTTGAGTTATCTGTTCTTGTTCAGATTTTCCACAAAACAATGGCCTTTTAAGAATTAATTCACCTAAAATTGTTCCAACACTCCACATATCTACTGCTGATGTATAAGATGGCATTTTTAATAAAATTTCTGGTGCTCTATACCATAAAGAAATAACTTCTGGTGTAAAATGTTTTGATTCAGAACGAAATACTCTTGAAAGACCAAAATCTCCTAACTTAATGGTTCCATCATTGTTCATAAAAACATTTCCAGGCTTAATATCTCTATGATATGTTCTATGAGAATGACAATATGAAAGAGCTTTGATTAATTGTTGAAGAATATTCTTAATAGTTGTTAAAGGAATATCTCCTTCAAAGTTCTTTATAAATTTTTGAAGGTCACTATCACAAAATTCAAACACAAGATAAAGACTCCTCCCATTATTATAAATCTCTAACAAACTACCATTTTAATCAATTAACTTATTCTCTTATTCAACTAATTAATTTAACAAACTTTACTATATTTTCATGTTTTAAATCACTCAACGCTGATATTTCTCTTAATGAAGAACATGAAATGCCTTCATTTGTAACATCCATTTTAATTTTTTTGATGGCAACATATCGATTCAGTTTTTTATCCAATGCTTTCGAAACAACTCCATACGTCCCTTCTCCTAAATTTTCAAGTCGTTTATATCGTTCATTAATCTCCTTCGACATCTATTTTTTAAAAGAGTTCTTGACGTGTGAATGAAATCAGAATGATTGTTCATTGTTTGGCAACAGTTGGCATTAATTTTTTATTTAAATAACATTAATTCATTTATTTTTAGTAAAATGATATATATAACAAAATTAATCAAATTTTATGTTTGTTTTAAGAATAAAAAATAAGTATAAGAAAAGATAAGGGTATGATAATATAACTTGTTGTGTTTGTTTATTTCTTTTATTTTTATTCATTTAGTGTTGTCATGTATTTATTTTTTTTATAATGTTCTTTAATCTTCTCTTTCTTTATTATTATTTTTAATATAACTCTATTCTAACTTAAGAAAAAGATTACCTTCAAATACTATATTTGATCTTACAGAATGAAACTCAATTATTTTTTTCCATCCATCTTAGCTACTACTTTAAATTTCTTCTTATTTTCTTTTTTGTCAACCCAACAAGACAAAAAAAATATAATTCCACATCCCAACAGAATTATTATGGGAATTAGAGTATATATAATTATCATAGGTATTATATCAGGTTGTTCTTTTTTAAAAGAACAGGTTGTTCTATTTTCGTTTACATATTTCCCGTACTCAGTCTCACATCTTTTACATTCAGTTTTTCCAGGATATTTTTGAAAGGTTCCTTCTGGACATGGAAAACATGATTTCCCTGTTGTATTTTTATAATACCCAGGTTGACAATCTTTACATCCACTCACTGTAAGTTCCATTCCAGGTTGACAAGTGAAACATCTACTACCATCTGGATATGGGAAGAATCCATTTGGACAAAGTTTACAGTTTGTAGCACCAACACCATCTGAATATGTTCCATCACTACACTTCTTACACAAATACTCTCCTTCTTTGTCTTGGTAATGTCCTTTATCACATAATTGACATTGGATTGTATTTCTTACGGCTGACGCAGAACCGGCAGGACACTTAGAACAATTAAAGCTTTCTATTAATCGTTCATCACGATAAGTTCCTGGATCACAAGGATAACACCCCCTAAAATAAGGTTCATCAATAAAGTGTGTTCCAACTGGACAAAAAATACAATCAGTTTGTTTCTCATTTGGAGTATAACCAAATGGACATTTAGAACAAGTTGTACTCTTTTCAGTTGAATAAGTACCTAATTGACATTCAATACATTCATTTTTTGATTGAAAATAACCAGCCGGACAAGCAACACATTGTTGATTTTTTAAAACCATTCCTGAGTCACATCCCTCACATTTTCTAGTTTCTGGGTTAAACATCTGACCACCTTGACATTCTTCACATAATTTTGATTCTGGGTTATAAATTACTTCACAACCAAGATACTCAACAAATAATGTTGTCAAAGTAGTTCCATATCTCCATGGAGAAGCTTTTGGGATATCTTTTAGAGTGACATTCATTAAAAGAGAGGTAGATTCTTGATGTTGAAAGATAACATATTTCTTTGGTTCTAATGGAACAAAACTACCAATAATTACTTGAAAGTTCATTAATTCATTAATAAGAATGTTTGCAATAAGAATATCATTTCCTGATTCTTCAATTTTAGCAATAACATCAAGAGGACTATTTTGTAATGTTTTTATTGTAAGTTGTCCATCAAGTTCAATTTTACTTCTAGGAGAAGTAATATCTTCTGATTGAGCAACACTAAGCACAGATATTTCACCATTTCCTTGAATTATAGAGCCATCATAACAAGTAATTCCATAAAAATTAGTTATATTAGCATCAATAAGAACTAAAGTGTTATAATTTGTAATAAGAGTAGGACAATTTCCATTAATCTTAGTTGTATTAAAGTTTTTTAATAAGTTAATTGTTGGTAAATATTCATATACTCCAAAGTTGTTTAATCTAAAAATATAAGAATCAATACAATTCCCTGAAAAACTTGTCGTTGTATTTAATTCGTTCAGTCCTGTTGAAAATTTTAATTCAGCACATTGTTTTCCAACTACAACATTTGCTTTGATACTAGTTGTTACTCTACTAACAATATTATCAACATAAATAACTTTGTCTGATGATACTATTACACAACTTTCAATAAGAATTAAAGTAACTAAATGGATATCACTTTGAGGATCTAAAGATTTTGATACACTCAATTGGTCAATATCAGTTTCTACATCTTCTTCTATACTTATTGAATTTACTATCATCTGTTTAGATGATTGAAGCGATGATCCTGATTTTAGTATTAGCGTTATTATATTGGTTTGTGAAGTAGAATCAATAAATACTGTTCCGTAATTTGTTAATGTATTTGCTTCAATGTCAAATAAATGAACTGTATTATAACAATCAACAAGTTTTAAATCTGTTGATACAACTGTTGTTCCATTGAGTATTGATGGTATTGAGATACTGTCAAACGTAACTTTCATCGAGTCATCTGAAGATCCAAGAGTAAATGAACCAAATTTAAATGAACCAATAAAATGTATTATACTTTTTGACGTAATTGAGATAATTGTTGAATATAGATATGGTGTTGCTGAAGTTAAACAAAGATTTGTTATTGTTGCTTCTTGAGAAATAACTAAACTTATGATTGTAGAGTTAAAGAAATCTCCTTTGACACATTCTAGTTCTTTTATCGTAGATTGAATTACTTTAGCATATCTCGTTGTTAACACAGAAGAGATTGTGCTTGTTGTTACGTATAGTTCATTAATTGTATTTGATGAAAATTCCATTTTAGTATTTGTGATACGTAGTGTCGATATTACTGATGCTGTAATAAACCCAGTAATCCCATCAAATGACAATTCATTTGTTCCAAGATTTGATGAAGTTATCTCGACATGATAGCATTGAATCTTAACAATTTTATTAATACAATCAGCTTTCTCTATTATCGTATTTTTTGTCACAATAGCTTGAGGACATTCAACTGAGTTAATATACTTTACTGTTTCAATGAACGGTGCCAAATCTTTAATTACGATGGAACATCCATCAAACAGCACAGAACCTGAAAGGAATGTAGCGTTTTGATATAGGTTAATTACAGAACCAAAAAACTCCGAACTTACTTGAAGATTACCACCATTAGTAAATTCAATTGAATTAACTCGAAGCTTTCCAAGTCCATCAATGTTTCCAAAATTTTGAGATCCTGTTGATGCTATAATAGTTCCAATCCCTTTTGTAATACTCAAAATTCCATAATTAATAAACAATATTCTTAATGAACCTGAGTTCGTTGAAAAAGTTCCAGTTTCAAAATTGATAAGCTTAGAAATAGAGGTGGTTAGACTTTCAATAGAACCATAGTTTTCAATACATAGAGAGTTCGAAGCTGAGAACGAAATAAAAGAACCTTGTTTATTTATTAACTTATCGCTGTTCATAAAATTCATTGAGATTTTCCCATCACAGAAAACCTCTTTTATATTGCATTGTTCTAAACTACATGTGCCATATAAATTAACTCTAAAGTGCCAATCACACCCACTAACACTCGAATCAATAAGTTCAACCATTGGATTATTACTTAGAAAAGTAACAGAAGAAAATACTGACCCAATAGCCTTAAGAGATTGTCCAAAACTCATATCAATTGTAGCCTCAGATAGTGTTGCATTATTGAGGATCGCCTTTGTGAGTATTAGAGTTGAAAGAGCAAGAGAATTGGAGTTGGCATTAACTGTTAATGTCCCTGATTTTTGTTTTAAAGAGGCTGCTGTTAGAGTATGAAACAATTGAAGAACATCACCATTTAATTCAATACTCCCAGCAATTGATCCAATAGTGAGAATATCATTTTCTATCGTAACTGAAGTTGACAAACTTGTGTGGATATATTCTAATCTTTTTTTACCAATAAATGTAGATGAAACGAATATCCCATGACCAACCATAACATCTCCTTCAAAGGTTAGAATTGAACCATCAGTAGGACATAAGTATTCAGACAAAGTCAAGAACGTAATAGTACTCCCAACTATTTTAGCAGAAGAGGTACATGAAAATGATTTCTTGATAGTGCCAATAATCAAAGTTGTTTCAGAAATAGTTAGTTCAGAATCAATTGTTGAAATAATAGAACCAGATGATATTGCTACTTGACCACCTTGAGTGTTAAGTGTTCCTGTTGGATTAGATAAGATGAGAGTGTCTGACTCTCCTAAAATGAAATTAACAAGGTTTCCTTCTATTGTGTTTAAGGTAACTGTACCTTTAATTATCATTCGTTGAATGGAATCAAAAATGAATGAATCAAGTGTACTAGAAGTAATAGATGAATCAACAGATGAAATTGTTGAATTAGATATTATCTTTGAATTAGAAATATCAATACCATTAACCTTCTTAAAAAAAGAAACTAAATTGAGGTTTGTTCCAGTAACTTTTCCTTGAACAGTTATCATTGAAGACAATGTCCCACTCCCATTTAGAACAACATCTCCAATAATAGTTCCAGACCCTTTAATATTTGTTATTCCAAATGAAGTTGCAATTGTGGATGCTATGGGACTGGAAATAATGATTGAAGGAGAAATCAGAGACGACACTGAAATTGCACCACCTGTTATTACTGATCCAGTAGAAATAACGCTAATATCACCAATCATTTGACACCCAGAATTTATTGTGATTGAAGGAGAAGTTAATGTAGTTACCACTGTAGATTTGATTATGCCATTAATTGAAGCAGTTAGGGAAAGTAATGATATTGATTTAACTTGAATAGAAAGAACTCCATTATTACTGACAGTGTAACTTCCACCAGAACTAAAAGAATCAACAAGTTCAAGAGTTACTTTATTACAAGATACTCCTCCAATAATTAAACTTGCTTGATTAGACGAAGTTAAAGAAATAATGGTTTCAAATTTTGGACATATAATAGCATTATCATTAAGATTAGGAATACCATTAGGACTCCAATTTGAGATTGATTCAAATAAATTACTACTGGCTCCTGTCCAAGTATAAGATATTGATAAAGCCAACGAAATTAATAAAAAGAAGAGCATGAAGAGTTAAAACAAGATAATCAATTAATAAGATTTCCTGATTTCTTTTATCTATACTATTGTGTTTGTCTATTTTAATGAATGAAAGAATAGGAAAGAATCAATACCAAAACCATAATAAAAACAGTTATCTATTCTAAAAATATATAAGACTTAATAAATTTAAAATTATAAAAACAATGTTTTAAAAAATAAAGTAAAAAATAATTTAGTTCATCTTAATCTAAATTTGACACGAAAACAATAAGCAATAGGATTAAGAAGATAATCTAAAATGCTTACAACAACAACTAAAGTAGCCAAAAGAGGCATGATACCCCATTTGTCCATGAATGGATAAGGTCGAATAGCAAATCTAAAGAAATCATGAAGAGCTAATGAAGCATAACACAAGAAAGCAACTAATGGAACAAAACGAGAATATTTGTAATTGTCATGAACTCTTTTATTTCCTTGATTGAAAACAAAACAATCTACTAATAAAAATAATAATGGGAATGAATGTTCAAAATGAGTTACAAATAGTTGTTCCATTAATGAAGGTTGCCAATCTTCAGACACTCTAAAAACAGCACTTGGTGATTTGAAATATAAAATCCAAAACATAATACTAACACAAAGACACAACACTAATGCTGTTTGTTGAGTTGAATCAACTAATACTTCCATAACTATATTTCTTTTTTTATTTTTTTTAGTACGTTCAACTTCAAAATTAAATAATAACAATGTCATTTGTTTACAAAAAGCAACAAAGAAATAGAAAGCACATCCCCAACAACTCCACATTGTCCAAAATCTACACATTCTACTAAAAGTGTAGTCATGAGAAATCATGTGTTCAGAAGTTATAACAACGATGAATGTAACAACACAAATATCATAAATCATACGATAGAATGCTTTCATTTTTGAGAGTCGTTTAATGTTATCAAGTTGTTTTATCATAGTGAAGTAACAATATGATTTCCAAGTTCAGATTATATTCACTCACCTTTTCCTGTTAACTCCAGAAATGGGCATAAACTTCTTTTTCTTTCTTCTAAGAAAAAATTGTCTTTCTATTTTTTTGTTTTTAATCCAATCAGAACTCTTTTTCCTCTTCATTGAGAAATTATTCATTCAATAATTTTTATTACCTAATATTTTTGATTTTCTGTTTTAATTGAATAGAATAAGTTTTTATTTATCTTCTAAGTATAATCATTTATGACACACATAATCAATTAATAGAGTAGATAATCAGAAACAAAAAAAAACGAAAACGAATAGAAGTCTTAATAAAGAAATTTTAAGGTTTGATAATAAGATTTCAATCAATTCATATGATAAACTTGGTCATTAGTCCATTGTTTTGCTTCACAAGAACATTTTAATTCTATATCTAAATGACGAGGATGAGAAGCAGCTGGCTTACAATGATACACACCTTTTATAATATCACCAGAACCAGCATTATCAAAGGGGAGATCGAAATAAAAACAAGTTTGTTTCCAGTGAGTATTAGTGTCAGGTTTAGTAGTAAGATATGACTTCTTTAAGAAAGTACAATCGAAATACAAACAAATACCAGAAAGAGGAACATCTCTATTAATAACAAATTCAAAAGGAACAGTGAAATCCATTTGATTAACTGACATATGTCTAAGATCAAAAGTAATCATTTTAATTGGTGCAGTACAAAGATATCTACTATCACAATAATCAACTAATGGATCTACTGTAACGTCAGAAAGAATACATGAAAAATCAAATCCATATACGTTTGACCAAAATCTTTCTTTTTCTTGTAATAATTCTTCATCACTAATTCCTGCAATATAAATACTTGCTGTATCTGGAAGAATAATTCCATCATCTTTTAAATATTTATCACGAGCATAAATAACACTAGCTAACATAGACTCAAACATTAAATTATATCCCATCCACTCACTAACAATGATATCAACTTTTTCTGGAATTTCAACTTCTTCCATTTTACCTTGAATTAATGTAATAACATTTTCATATCCATTTAATTTAATAATTTCCGCTGCTTGTTTTCTTACTGAACTCATTTCAACTGCATAGACATGTTTTGCTCCATTACGTGCAGCAAACATAGAAAGAATACCAGTTCCACAACCAACATCTAATACTATTTTATCTTTAACAACTGAAGGTACTAATGCTCTTTTATATGATAATGTACGATGTCTATCTTTTAACATTTCGTCATGAATTCCTGGATGTGAATAACTTTCCCAATAATATTCACTATCAGCACCAGCAAGGATATCAGTTGGTTTGCATTCTTCCATTATAGGGTTACTTTTGATTCTTTTTTGTTTTATTTTTCAGTTTTCTTTTTTCTATGAATAAATTCTATATTTTACTATTATATTTTTATAAGTTATTATTCTTATTAAATTAAAAGAATTCATTGATATAAATAATGAATTATTAGTCATCAGTTATTACTTGATTTTGTTGAGTTAGTTCTTCTTTTTCTGTTGATATTTCTCTAGGAATTTCTTGAGTTAGTTCTTCAGTATGTTCTAATGGTTGAGGTACTTGAAGAGAGTCATCTTGTTTAGGTTCATTTTGAAGTTCAACAAAGAGACTTTCTTGTTGTTCATGATAATTAAATAAACAAGGGAGTTTAATAACTTTAGTGTATAATAAGAATCCAATTACTAAAAGTATAAATCCAATTACTTGAACAATAGTACTCCATCCAACAGATTCTCCGTATGATGAACTTATTACATAATGAATAAAAACTGAAACAATCCAAACAGAAATCATTCTCATTGGTTCTAAAATATTTCTTATCATTGCGTTTGAATATTGAATAACTGCTGTACCAGCAAAATTAAAGAATAAAATAACGATAATATAAGCAATACATAAAGACAAAATTAAAGAAGAATTATAAATCATATAAAATGTATCTACAATATTTTCTCTAATAGACGCTGGTAAAAATGGCATAAAATAATAAAGGGTTAATACAATAACACAACACAAACATCCATAAAATCCTCTTAACCCAACAATAAAAGCTACTGGTGCTTTAACATCATGTAATAAAATTTCTTCTAAAATTGTTTGAAGTGCATGTAAAAATTGAGCAAGAATAATTAAAGAAATACCAATTAAAATATAATACCATTCTGAATGTTCTTTAATATCATTTGAATTAGAAGAATCGTCATTTTGAGATGACCCATTTGGAATAAACATAGAACATCCTACAAGAATTAAAGCAACAATAATTAATCCTACACCAGTAAAATGAAATAAGTATTGTTTTTGTTTTCTCCAAAAAATTGCTAATAACATAGCAAAAATAATAGTACTTCCTCTCATCATTTGGTACACACTTGATGGAATATACAATAATCCAAAATTCATCATATATGTTCCAAGGAAATCACAAATTGATGGTAAGAAAACAAATAAATATTGTTTAAGTGTTAATCTTTTTGGTTGTTCTTCAATTTCACCAAATGTTTTTGGTGTTTCGTTATTAATTTCATTTGGAGCAAGGCTTTGTTCTTCATTATCACTAAATATTTGTTTATTTCTTTTTTTATAACAATTTATACAAAATTTAATTAATTCTGTAAAGTAATAAATAAGAAGTGCTAAAAACATTCCAAAGAACATTAGAAAATTAAAAAACATTGGACGTTCAAATAATTCAAAATTTCCATCTTTATTTTTAGATTCAGCTGCATACGCTGTCTTTGAAATAATAGTACTTCCTGTCCCCATAATAAGAAATAAACATACAAAAAATATTAATAATAAAAGTCCTTTGTATTGTTGAATATAACTAATAATTTTCATATCTTTAAAATTTTCAGTTCTTATTTCTTTTTCAAATATTTTTATTACAACAAAAATACAACCATTTCTAAAACAAAATATCTTTCATCTTCTTTTTTTTTGATTTCTTCTTTTCCTTTGAAAAATTCCCTTATAAAAAATACTTGACGAATTCTTCGTGATATATAAATATTTTTATGCTGACGTATTGACGAAATATATATTTTTAGTTATTTCATACATCAAATTCATTCTCTATGTCTTTCCTAATTATATCATTTAATTCAAATGGTTTTAGATTTATATATTTATTTTTTTTCATAAAAGGGGTTAGATAGCTCATACAAAGAGTTAAATTTTAATAACACATATTAAAAAAGAAAGAGTCCCATGAAGAATCACAAATAAAAGAATAAACCAAAGAAATTACAAATTTTTTTCTATTTATTGAAAAATGGACTATCTTTAATTTCAAAAAGAGTTATTAGATGTTACCGATAATTAATTGTAATGAATTAGTACAATGTAATAATATTACAAGTGTTTCTTTTAGTGAAAAAAG